TAAATACAAATAAATAATGGAAAATAATTTTATTTTCTCTTTAAGATGGAAGGCTTAAGTAGGCGTGAAGAGGAAGTTGAATGGAAATCATGGAATTAGGAAAATGGAAGGAATTTAGAAAGACCTTTGCCTCATCTCTTATGTATTATAGAGAAATTACAATGCTAGCTAATATTACCCAAATATCAGAACACTAACAAAGGTCTCCCTTTAATAACCAATGTTCTTAAGGACCTTTCCACTGTTTTTGATCTATGAGGTCCTTTAATTTTAATAATCAAACTCTGAGAAAGGAGGAAGACCTCACACAGTTTGTGTAGTACCTGTTAGGTTACCATGTTGCCAAAAGAGGAACCAGGATCAGTCAGTATTTCTAGGCTAAAGCTTCCTCACCAGAGAATTTTTAGAGAAGAATCAGTCTAACTCCAGAAGTTAGAGACTGTATGTACCTGTTGTGCAGAGATGCTTTGCACCACATTCTTCTCCACCCAGTTTATCATATGCTCTTGTTCCTTTCTCCGCATCATATTCTGCACAGAGATATGGTAGTCCAGACGATTCTTCACCTCCTTGTACACTCTGTGCAGCCGTTCCCGGTACGTAACTTCCATGGCCATAGCGATGTTATTCTGGGGCAAAATTAAGAAAAGATAATGTATACTGTTTACATATTTAAAGGATCATTTATGCCAGGTAGAATGCCATACTCCATTATCTTGTATTTTATGCAAAATTATTTTGCTTCTTATGAATAGGTAATTCGTACCTTATAGAAACAATTCTAAAGTACATGCAGTAAACAGTAAGATCCCTCCCCCAGACAGCTGTTACATTATTATCCTCTTGCTGTATTTAACTTTACTCCCCAAAATAATTAATGAATACAGCACACACCCATCACTTTCTTTTTTAAAATTACCAGAGACAGATGACTTTTTATTTTAAAAATTCAACTCACTGCCATCAAGACAGTTCAGACTCACAGCAGCAACACTTCACTGGGTCTCTGAGGCTGTAAATCACAATTGGAGGACAATGCTTGTCTCTCTTCCTTGGAGACAGTGGTGCATTTGAACCATTGATGACACGCAGAATTTGGGTTAGCAGCCCAACTTGCTACTAACTATGCCACCACAGCTCTCTTCTATTTTTAAAGTTGTACCAGATATCAATAGATTGGTGTTCAATAATTCAGTCAAGTTGCAGCTTAGGTTGCTTATGTTAAAAAACGGCAAATAATGCTGTACATACAACATTCTCTGTATCCTTACACTCAGGTATGAACACTTGCTGAGTAAAAGAATAGCTAGTAAGGCTGACCACCTTCTATTTTTAACACTTAGTATTATACTAATTGAATGAAATCTTACACCACCATCACAGAACAGTTACTATTATGATATCTATTTTAACAGTAAGAGACCTAAAACAGAGACAGAATTTTCTCAAGGCTAATAAATTGTGAAGCTTGATCTGAATGCAGCCATTCAGAGTACAGAACCCATGGATCAAAATGATATAGTCATTTTAATGATAAACACAGCCAAGTTCTACTGAGACGTTGTACAATTTGTTCTTCTATCCAGTAACGAGCTTGTCTGCTATTCCAAATCCTTGCTAATCTAGTTAAGTGGTGGTGGTGATTTGTATTTCATCAATTTTGTCATAATTAGGCAAAGAGCAAATTCACATATTTAAAATCAATTTATACTTAGTTTCTTCTCTGTAAACTGTCCTTTTTCTAAGGATGCTGGTTGCTTGTACTGATCTGTAAAATTTTTTACATTGGGGAACTACTTGTGTCATCTGAAGTGCATGAATTCTTTTGTTTGTCAGCTATCTGTGCATTCCTTGCTGCATTTTTCAAGGAGTGGCATCCACTTCCTAAGCAACATACCTCTGCAAACTATCAACTTTGATAAATGTCGATGGTTATAAAGGGGCTTCTGGCTTTTTGTTTAGGAAAACACATGGCATTTTTCACAGGTATAAATTTTAAATTTATATGAGATCTACTTCAAAATCTTTTAAGGATTCTAGATTCTATGATTTTTATCAGAAAGGCTTCCCCAACTCTAAGAATAGTAAATATTTTTTAAAAATCATTCCTTTTGGTTTTCATTTTACAAAACAAAACAAAAACAACATACAGATTATTTTATTCAGCTAAACTGACTATGGCAAAAAAAAATCAACTTTATATCCAAAGAGCCATCCATTTGCCTCTAAAATGAATAACTATCCTTCTCCTGAGGAATTGCCAGTGGCTATGAAAGATGGGGAACAAACAACCTTTGGCACAGCAGCCCAACATGCTCGACAGACTACACCAGTACATTTCCTTGCTATAAAAGTCCATCTTTTGCTAAGAAAATTCCACCTATCTAAATTAAATTATCTTGTGATGCACATAGTAAATGTACTCAGCTGCTAACAAAAGGTTGGAGACCGTTCTAGTCACTGGAAATCTAACAGTTCTATCTGGATACACGTGGTACAGTACTGATTTCACTATACTTTAAATAAAGAAATAAAGCATTTAGATCTATCTGTGGACCTCTTCACTTGCTCTTGTAAACCTTTTTGCTGTATTTTAAGTTCCTTTTAATTTGTCCAAGTTCCACCTAACTCCATTAATATTTTTTCCTATTAATATGAGAAATTAAAGAGAACAGATATCTTTAAAATATCAAGTGTTCTAATTTAAGACTAAGGCTGGAAAAACTTTGTAACTCATTAACATTTAAAATTTTTCAAAATACAGAGAGCATATGCTTCCATTTAAATACACCCTAGGCATCTTTTTAAAAAAAATTTATGTCTTCTAATATACTTTCCAACTAAATGTGAATTTTCATAGAAAATCTACTGATTTTTATTATTCCATATTAACTTTATAACTAGACATCTTATTAAATTTGCTTATTGTGCTAAGAGTTACGTTGATTTCCTTGGGTTTTCTAGATATACAATCAGGTCACCTGCACATAAAGGTAACTCTACCTTTCTAATTTTCATACTTTTTTACTAATTACATTAGCTATGTGTCACAAGCCATGGTCTCTGCAATCACTTGCTATGCATCAGAGAGCTGGAAAATGACTAGGGAGGACAGAAGGAGAATTGATGACTTTGAGCTGTGGTGCTGGAGAAGAGTATTGAATGTACCATGGACTGGCAAGAAAACAAACAGATTCATCCTAGAGAGGGTTAAACCAGGCTGCTCCTTGGAGGCAAGGATTCTGAGGCTTTGTCTGACGTACTTTGGACATGTTGCAAGGAGGGACCGGTCTTTGAAGAGGGACGTCACACTTGGTAGGATGGAGGGACAGTGCAGGAGGGGAAGACCCTCTATGTGGTGGATTAATTCAGTGACTGGGGTAATAGGGGTGGGTGTGTTGGAGACAGTGCGAATGGCACAGGACAAAGAAGGGGTTAGGGCTATTGTACTCGACAGCACTTAACAACATTAGTTTCTGAATAGTGCCTATAAGTATAAGGCCCTTTCTGGTGAGTGATGAGAATGTTAATACAAGTCTACTCTTAAAATATGGTTTGAGATTATAATCATAATACTGCTTAGTCCATTTCTTTAGCTTATTTACTCTTCTAGATGACTACTTCATACTTTCTCCTCAAGCTTTTCAAGATTTTTTACTTCTTTTGCTCAATGAATGACTCTGCTTCTTACTCTCTAGATATCCAATTAAATTCTACCAGGATCTATTTAAAAGCATCACTTCAGCTATTATTTTCCCTTCTCTTTGCTACATATTATTTTTCCTTTCTGCTAACCTCTATGAGATATTAACATTTTTTTAAAATTTTACTCTGACTTTATTTACAAAGTTTAAAGACATTGTTTTTTACAAAATATCCTTCCCATTTCCTTCACCCCGCCCACCCATCAAATTGTGCAACCCCATAATTAACACCCCCACCCACCTTGGATCCTCATACTCATTCTACAATAAAGGTTTTATACAGTACTTGTCCTTGTGGGACTGAGTTAGTTCACTCAGCATATTGTTCTCTAGTCCCTCCCAACATGTTACTGTATTTTCCATTTTTTAAAAAACCCTCTTGATTCTACATTCCCCTCTTCCTAGCTAATTTCTCTGCTCATCATTATTGTAGAACCTGGCAGAGTTGCCTATATGGATTCCAATTTCCTCTTTCATTTTTTTTTCTTCAACTGATTCTCTCTCACTGCCACTGAGTCAGAACCAACTCATAGCTGAACTTCCAGCAGGTTTCAGAGTGTGAATTTCACAGAAGGGAACTGCTGATTTTTCTCCTTTGGAGCAGCTGGTGAACTCTCACTGCCTCCCTTTGGGGTGGCAGCACAACTCCAACTCCTTACCCACTAGGTCACCACTAAAATGACTCTTATTAAGGTCACCAAGAACCTTCATGGTGTTAAACCCTACAGGTAAATTCTTAAGGCTCTCAACCATTAATAAAACTCATCCACTGCCACTGTGTCAAGTCTGACTCATAGAGACCCTCCATCAGACTTTTGAGGATGAAAGTTTTAATGCAAGGAAATGCTCATTTTTCACCCTCAGAGCAACAAGTGGATTCAAACTGCTGACCATCTTGTTAAGAGTGAAACACATCACATACTATGCCACCAGAGATCCTCAAGAATTAACGGAGAAACCACATATCGAAATACAACTAGCTACTGCCTGGTTTCCTGGTGTTCTACTTTCATGGCTTTTACACGTAATTTGTAAACTCACGATTCTTAAGTTACGTACTATTTCAAACCTGGAATTCCCCATCCACTCCAAGTAACTATCCAATGGCCTATTCAACAAATCTTATTTGGCAAGAGTTACCTTAAGCTGACACACACAAGACCTCAATCTAATCTCAAGAGGATTCTTCAAGAAATCATCTGACTCCTCTGCTTAAAAAGTCCCATAACTTTCCCCCTTACTCAGCGTAGGTCCTTATAGAAATCAGTAGAACTTTACATAAGCTGTCTCTGAGGCACCTTGCTGTTTATTTCTCTTCCTTTTAGCCTCCCCTTCACACAGACCACTTTAGCCACCCTACCTCCTGATATTTCCTTGAATGTACCAGGTAAACTTTCAAGTTTACCCCTTCCAAATGGTCTCCTCTCTGCAGAGAGCATCACTTCCCCAGAAATCCAGAGTTCACGCCATTACTTCTTTCTATTCTTTACTCATATATCCTGATTCCTCTATAATGAACTCTTTCCTCTTAGAATCTCATTTTAACACCATTTTACTGCCGGATACAGCACATACAATTCTGATATAGACATTAGCTCAATACGTTCTGTTTTGCTCATCAAAAAAGCAGCTCCAGTTTATTAGGAACTATGTTTTGCTTCTGGTGCATTCCTAGGACCATGTGTATTGATCAGAACAGTTTTACATAATCAAGAAGTGGTTTAATATGTACCTGTTAAAAAAGTACTTCTTAAATAAAAAGTTAAGCATGTATCATTTGCTTTTTAAGAAGGTCACACTTTCTAATTTGGTCTAAAAACAGTAGTCAAAAGGTTTATGTGGCTATCTTCTTATTCTCCGGTTGTGACCTAAGTAAATACATACTGGAAGAGGTTTTCAAACAGTCTAAAGAATTCTAAACACTGACCTAAAAAATCTTTAAAAATTTCATTTTTAAAAATAGAGCTCTGTGGAAAGCCCCTTTTATAAATTCTAATTCCAAATGTCTTAGAATGAGTCCAAACAGCTGTACACAAATTGATTTTAATGCAAGTAGTCCAAAGGACACAGCTGAGAAAAACTGATCCAGATCCTTGATATTTCAGACATCCATACTTTATAGGTTCTCATGTAATTCCAGTATGTGGGCATGCCACCTTATACATTCAGCATAAAGTACTAGGCTCAAAGAAATAATGAAAAGACAACTGGACAAGTCCCTTAAATCTGTTTTGTAAACAAAATATTTTAAAATCTCATTATGTGTTGATCATACTGAAAGCTAACTGAATTTGTCTACTGTGAAAATCTGGAGTTAAAGATAAAAGATTTTAAAAAAAATAAAAATTAAAAAAAGAGAAAAGATTTTCCTAAAGCAAACTGTTTACAGTAAACTGTAACCCACTTAACTTTATGTGATTTTAAAACCAATTATTAACTATTTTCTTTTGTATGGATCTAAACTGTTCTTACATAACTCTGCTATTTTTGAAACTAATAATTCTAATTATTTTTTCATTTGGCAGTTCACAATTTTGCCTTTGCTAGAAACAAAACAGGCTTTATTTATGCAAATCTTTTTGATAAGAAAATCTAACTTTGTTTTAAATTTGTACATAAACAAGTAATTTCAGTCTCTTCAGAAACTTCTGAAACCTACCCTTTGAACATCAAAAAGGTAATGGCGTTTCTGAGTCAGTGCCTGCTGTGCCTTTTCTGCATCAATCGCATCTTGGATGTATTTCATGGAAGTCTGCTTCACCTCTTCTAGTCGAGCAATTTTTTGCTGCAATTACAACATTTATAATAAACGTTAGTGAAAGCACTAAGAGTAATAAAAACATATATTCATTTTATATTTCTTCACAAAACTTTATAGCATTTGTACAAACATCCACAAGGAAACAAGCAACACATTCAAAGAGAAATGCAAAAGTCCTAAAAAGTTTTCAAGGAAGGTAAAAAGTAAAAGATTTAAAAATCAAATAAATCTGGCTTTAAAAGGAATTATAAATTTGGATTAATAAAAAAGTTAAAAGAAAACACAAAAATTTAAAAGACACAAAAGTAACACAAAAACTAAAATCTTTAATAAATTCTCTTTTTAGTAAGGTTTTCTTTCTAGTGTCCAGCCCATATTCTCACTCAAAACTCATTGTGGCTGAATCAGAACTTACAGGTAACCCTGCTGAGTTTCCAAGGCTGTCAAAGGCATGGAAGGAGGGTGCCCATCTTTCTCCCTTGAAGCTCCACTACAGGGGCTCACCCTTTGAATCAAGAGCAGTACAACTCTCTATGGATGAGGCCACCAGAGATCCCTTAGCCTGTAATCAAACTCCTTGCCTTTCAGTCAGAACCAGCTCCTCTAGGTCACACTCCACACTCATTTCTACTAGGTTTCTGAGACTGTAAATAGCAAAGAAGGAAACTGTATATTGTTCTATTAGAAAGTGGCTGCTGGATTTGAACTGCTAGAATTGTGGCCTTGGGTTAGTAGTGCAACTCCTTATGGACTATGCCACTAGAGCTCCCTAGCCTGTACTAGTTCTGAAATATTTTGATGAATGCATAAAACTATGAAAAAGCTTGAGGGAAAAGAAAAATGTCAGTAGTTAATACTGATACTTACTTAGCAGTTAAGTACTCTTCCCCAAACATAGAAATCATTCATATAGCTTGAAGATCTTGATGGTGCTACTATAGTCTAAGATTGAGAGGAAGGAAGGCTTATATGGTTCTTACCTCATTAAGTTTATCAGCAAATTGTCCAATAGAGGCACCATATTTTTTAACTGCATAGACAAGCAATCCGACTGTTGCTATGCTAGAAAAGGTTTCTGCTGTAATCACGTATATTTCTTTGGACAGAAAATACAGGATAAGCCCAGTTCCAAGCATGTAGGGACCTTAAAAAATAAAAAAGGTATTTTATGGATGAGTTTGTTATGCCTAAAAAGACAAAACAAATACTGCAGCATCTGGTTAATTAAATATAAAATTATGTAACAGAAGAATCAGATTCAAAGGCAAAACAGTCAAAGAACAAAGATTTGAATTTAGGGAAAATTAAAGAGTTGCGACTCTGCAAACTTAGAAGCCGAGCAATTTAAAAAAGCAAAACAAAACTCTAAGTGGCTTCTCCATTTTAAATATGGTATCAGTAGCCTTTTTATGGGGTTGATAGAATAATTTAAGTATAGTAGCCTAGAAACAGTGCCAAGTTCAAACTGGCCCATAGTGAAGCCTCCAGCGGATTTCCAAATCACATGCGAGGAGACTGCCCATCTTTCTCCCTTGGAGTCACTGGTTGATTCAAACCACCGGAGAGTATGGTCATTGGGTCAGCAGCACAATTCTCTATGGCCAACCCCCATCTGAGCTCTTGTCTAAAGAAACAGGTCCTAATACACACTATTTATTGGATGGGAAAAACATACAGAACAAAAACTTACCCAATAAGGCCTATTTTTATTTAATAGCAAATTGACTTAGTAAATCAGCAAAAATGAACTAGAAAGTTGTTGTGCACCATCGAGTTGGAACAGACCCACAGCTGAATCTCTAGCCGATCTTCAGAGTCAGTAAACGGCACTGGAGGAGACTGTCCATCCTTCTCCTGTAGAGCAGCTGGTGGACTTGAACCACCTATTTTCACATTTGCAGTGCAATTCCTTACAACTAAGTCACCAGGATAAATGTGTGTCAGGGATGCATCCTATCTCCATACCTTTTCAATCTAAACATAAAATAATAATTCAGGAAGCTAGACTTTATGAGAAGGTATGTTGCATCAGGATTGGAGGAAGACTCATCAACAACTTACATGATGCAAATGACACAACCTTGATTGCTAAAAGTGAGAAGGACCTGAAGCGCCTGCTGCAGGAGGTCAAGGAACGTAGTCTTCAAAATAGACTGAAGCTCAACATTAAGAAAACAATATTCTCAACACTGGGCTAAAAGGCAGTACCACGAAAAATGTTGAAGAGACTGAGGTTGTTAACATTTACAGCTTGCTCAGCTGCAGCTGTCAGGAATTGCACTGGGAAAATATGCTGTCAGAATTAAAACAACTATGAGATATCATCTCACCCCAGTCAAAATAGCAAAATTTAACAGAACAGCAAGCAACAAATGCTGGCGAGGTTGTGGAGAAACTGGAACCCTGATTCACTGTTGGTGGGAGTGTAAAATGGTGCAACCCCTGTGGAAAGCGGTATGGCGCTTTCTCAAAAAGTTGCAAATAGAGATACCACTTGACCCAGCAATTCCACTACTGGGAATATACCCTGAAGAGACCATAGCTGACATCCAAGCAGATATCTGCACACCCATGTTTACTGCAACTTTGTTCACAATAGCAAGGATTTGGAAACAACCTAAGTGCCCATCAACAAACGAATGGCTAGAGAAGCTGTGGTATATTCGCACAATGGAATACTATGCTGCACTGAAAAACAAGGAACTCATGCAATATTATTCAAAATGGTTGACTCTGGAGAACATTATGCTGAGTAAAATATCCCAGTCACAAAAGGACAAATATTATATGATGCCACTGTTGTAGAATGGGACTAACCTCGGGGTTGGGGAGAGACTGAGTAAGATGGGTTCAATAATGTATATTGCACTGAAACAGAGGAGGGAGAAAACTGTTTAAAAGAGATATGTGACTAGGTATTTCTGTCATCACAGGAGTCTAGAGCGATGGCTACATGGTGGAGGGGACCTGGGGGAGGGTTTGTAAAACAATGAAAGAATCTTTTCTTTTACTTTTCCATAATTTTTGACTCATGTACTTATAACTTGTTAGTTAAATTTGTGTCTTCTAGGTTGCAACCCCCCCCCCATGATACATCTTCAAGGATATGAACATGTACGGCTAAGCACAATTAATAACAGTGCATCTAAATTCCAAAATCAATCTCCATAATAGTCTATGTGTTTCCTACTGCCAAAGGGGCCCTTTAGAGTAGTGAGAGAAGATCTTCACCCTGAAACCCACAGTGCCCCTTTTCAGCAGGAAGTAGCTAAGAGAATACGCCATCCCCTTTTCCTTATGAATCAGAGTGAAGTCTCTCTCAGGGAGGAGTGATAGGGAATGGCAAAGGACACACTGACAAAGGAGATTAATCAGAACTGACTTTGACAAGCACTGTGGCAATTGGACAATTAAAACAGACATTCGGATGGCGAGGGGAAGAAGAACAAACTGGGGAGGAGGGTAGAGAGAATGGTGCAGTAATGAAGGAATGAAAACCCAAAATCCCTGTAAATGTTCATTAAAACTAATAAAATTTAATAATAAAAAAAACAAAAAAAAAGAAAATATGCTGTCAGGGGCCTCTCCAGAGTGCTGAAATGCAACGATGTCAGTCTAAAGATGAAAGTCCACCTGACCCAAGCCATGGTCTTTGAAATTACTTGCTATTCATCAGAGAGAGCTGGACAATGACTATGGATGACAGAAAAACAAAGGATGCTTTCGATATGTTCAGGACAGGACAGGCATCAGAGCTGCCGTATATAGGGTTGCTATGGGTCACAGATGACTTGATAGGACATAACAAGGCTACCAGAGCTCCTTAATTATAAAGTAGTATCCACATAAAAGGAAGAATCAAAGTATCAGGATTCTCAACTCTTTTAACTAAATAGAAGACTTCTTAAGTGGCTATGTTGTTCTTCAACCAAGTCATGAGTTTTGAAAGGCCACAAACCATTATTTTCACTTCTCCAGGATTCTCCTCTATGCTTCAATATTTTAAATAGGGACAGAACTAGCCTTTAGCTAGCATTTTACATTGTGTAAATACAAGTATCAAGACCGTTATTTATCAATACATTGAAAAGTTACAATCTCAAATATATTTGAAAGAGTTTCTCCTAGGTTTAACAGACTCACTACAAATTTTAAATGTGAACTTGCAAGATGACTATGTAACTCTTTTTTCTTAAATGGCCAGTGGAGCTCTGATGTTCTTTGCAATATCTGCTGTTGACTGATCCCTCCTGGCCAAGTGCCCAATGAATGAAAGATGAAGACTCAGAATCGTTGGCTTCAAAGAGGAGCCTGGTTTCACCCTCTCCATGACGAACCTGTTTGTTCTCCTGGTAGTCCATGATATATTCAATACTCTTCTGCAGCACCAGAGCTCAAAAGCATCAATTCATTTTCTATCATCCCTAGTCACTATGCAGCTTAACTAAGAAGACTATGGCCTAGATCAGGTGTAACTTAGTCTCCAGACTGACATCATTGCTCTTCAGTACTCTGGAGAAGTCTCTGACAGTAGACTTTCCTATCGCAATTTGTATATTTCCTGGTTGCTGGTACTAAGAGTGCTGATTGTGGAGCCAAGCAAGCTGAAGCTGTTAACAGTCTCAATCTCTTCACTGTTTATCATGCTGCTGCCAAATGGTCCAGTAGTGAGAATCTTTGTTCTCTTGATGTTGAGCCTCTATCCATATTGAAGGCTGCAGTCCTTGACTTTCTGCAGCAAATGTTTCAGGTCCTCCTAAGTTGTGGCATGCAAAACACAGGTTTTTGATGGGTCTTCCTTCAATCCTGATGTCACATTCCTTCTCATAGAGCCCAGCCTCCTGGATGGTCTGTTCTGCATATAAACTGAAAAGGTATGGAGATAGGCTGTGTCCCTAGTGTTAACCTTTCCTGGTTTTGAACCATGCAGTGTTTCCTTGCTCTGTTCTGATGATGGCCTCCTGGTCCAAGTATAGGCTTCACATAAGCACAATCAAGTGTTCTGGAATTCGCCTTCTTCTCAGAGTTAGCTACAGTCTGTTGTGATCTACACAATCAAATGCCTTTGGACAGTCAATGAAAACACAGACAGACATTCTTCTGGTATTCTCTGCTTTCAGCCACGACCCATCTAATGTTAGCTATAATATCTCTGGTATCACTGCCTATTCTAAACACCTGGCAGGTCTCTGTGATAGCAGCCACTTCATAAATTCATTAACAACTAGAGAGAATGCTATAAAATTATGTTACAATCCCAATCAAATTATTTCTAGAGTAACTTGGGAGCAATCAATTCATACACCTTCTTATTTCTTTTTAAAAATAGCTGACTGGACTTTTTTGTAGTATATGCTGAAGAGATGAAGGTACAAAGGTAGCATAGTGTGGAACATACTGGACTGCTGACTGAAAACTCAGGCCAGTGGTTGCTGTCCATCAACTGCTCTGAGAGATTGCCCTCAAGCAGGTTCTTCCTGCAAAGAGGATTTAGTTTTGGTATGTAGGAGAATTAGGGGCTACTAAAAGTCTATGTTAATATAAACCATACCATCCAAATACAGCATCAAAGACTAGACAAATCCTCACCTGTGACACCTGTTTTAGGATAAAGAAACTGGAAGAATTCCTCAGGGATAAGTCCAAAGCGAACTTTTCCTCCATGTTCAGGAAGAGGTGGTAGAGGTGCAAGACTTGGCTGTCCTTTGTGAAAGATCCTTGTGGCTTGCAATACCCTGTAAGTAGTAATCATACAACTTTATAGAAAACACAATATTGAACATTTAGCAGAAACAACACATTAAGAATGCTGCCCAGTAATTATTGTAACGGGAGAAAAGAAGAGAAAGAGAACCTTAAGAGTCTCATAATTATTTATATGGTAAGAGCAAACAACTCAAACACTTAAGCCTTATTTAACCCTTTTCTATCCAATAGTGAAATCCCTTCTATAAGCCTGAGAGATTACCTGTCCAGCACTTCAGATATCAACAAGGTATAAGAATGTATAGACTCTGCAGACCATCTAGGTTCAAATCCCAGACTCACTACTTGACTATGCGCAGGCGGGCAAGCTATGGATTGGTTCTAACTCAACAGTCTACAACAACTACCAAGTTTAGGGAGTTCTGGTAACTAAGAGGTAAGAAACTGTGTTGTCAATGCAAAGGTACATGGTTCAAATCAGCAAGCTGCTCTGCAAGAGAAAGATGGGCAATCAATCTCCTTCAGTGTGATTTACTGTCTCTGAAAACCTGGAGTGTCAGCTATGGGTCAGTTCAGTCCCATGACTACACAATAAGGCAACAACCAAACTTAGTTTAAAAGCAATAGCAAATAGGCCAAGTTTCAGAGGATTAGGAAAAAAGGTCAGCTAGACTAGAGAATGTACTAAAAAAAGGCAACAGAGGTACGTGGTATCAAAATGCAGTCTGGGGTCAATTCAAGTTGGGTCTTCTTTGTTACACTATATAATCTTGACTTTATTTCAAGGATGTGAGCTCTGAAGGATTATAGGTTTGGGGAGTGACTACTCCCTGGGTGACTTCTGATGAAGTATTCATCTACAAATGGAAATGTTTGTAGCTATTTACTGAAAACAGTTGTTGACAGAAAACCCTATGGAGTGCAGTTTTACTCTGCACACATGGGGTCACCATGGATCAGAACTGACAGTAACTTTAAAAAACAAATTGTGAGAATTGGCTACCATCAAGGACAGAATCAAAAGGAACCTAGTCAGGAAACTCCATCAGATTTTATATTAGAGCTCTGGCGGCCTAGTGGGTAAGGAGTTGCACTGCCATAGCAAAAGCAAGTCGTTTCAACAGTTTCTCCCTCCATGGGAGAAAGACAGGTAATTCCCCCTCATGCAATTTACAGGGGGGAGGGGGACCCCCACAAACCAAAACCAACAAACCCCTAGAAGGTCAGCTATGGTTTAGTTTTGACTTGATGGCAATGTGAGTTAAAAGACAGTACTAAGACAGTCTGGTAAAACTGATGGTGGTGCTGTAGCCAAAACGGTAATCAAAGATGTCAACAGTCAAGATAGCATGTGGAGAAGAGATATGATAAAGAATTAGGTACTGAATGTGAAAGAATGCAGGCAAAAGTTTCCTTGTATTTTGCATATACTGAGGAGCCATGATGTCAGTCTAGAGACTAAGGTGCGCTGGATCCAGGCAATGGTCTTTACAATTACTTGCTATGCATCAGAGAGCTGGACAATGACAAAGGATGACAAAAGAAGAGCTGATGCATTTGAGTTGTGATGCTTGAGAAGAGTCTTGAACATACTGTGGACTGAAAAGAAAACAAATAGGCCTGTCTTAGATTGGGTGAAACCAAGTTTCTCCTTGGAGGCCAGGATTTTGAAGCTCCATCTCACATACTTTGGGCACATGGCTAGGAGAGACCAGTCCTTGGAGAAGGACATCATGCTCAGGTGGGTGAAGGGACAGAGCAGGAGAGGAAGACCCCAGATGAAATGGATTGATATAGTAACTGGGGTCATGATGGTAGGTGTGTCAGAGTCAGTGAGGCTGGCTCAGTACAGGGCAGGCTTCAGAGCTTTTGTACAAAGGTTGTTGTGAGTCACAAGCTGATGGCACATAACAACTCCACTGTTTTACACGGCTTTGTTTACATAGCTGTCTGGTGGTTTTTTCCCCTCTGATAATTGCAAAATTGGATGTAGTCAATCACAGCCTCATTTTATTTGATACAAAATTAATTGCAGAACGATTAAAGCCAGTTTTCAAAGCCACAGAATAAAGATTCTAGGATTAAGTTAGGAAGTAAACAGAATCCCAAAGAAAACTAGTATGCTTTATGAAATAATATTAACAATAACTGTGTACCTATTATGTACCAGACACAGCGGTTCTTAAAGTTTCATAGGTATTAGTCTCTTAATTCTCACAAAGTCCATTACGTACAAATACCTTCGTTTTGCTGAAAGGAAACTTGCTGCCACTCAGCTAGCAGGTAGTGGAAGTCCTTGTATCCTGTTTTTCTAGCCTTGGAGCCCTCACTCCACACCAATACTTCATGGGTGCCTCTCCTTCTGAAATGCTTCTGTTCTATGAAAGCAGGTATTTGGCTTTATTTTTCTTTTACTCTCTGTGTGTGTGTGTTTTCTATGAAAGCAGGTATTTGGCTATTTGGCCTTATTTTTCTTTTACTCTGTGTATGTGTATCTCAAGCTAAATATCTACTGGATCAATGATTTCTCCGAATCTGAGAAATGAGAGTGAATGTGACAGATAGATTGAAAGCAAAATGTCTCGTAATCCTATCTAATAACACTTGGTTTTGAACAGACTGTCAGCTAACGCACAGCACCTATGGTGAGCTGAAGGTCGCAGCGAAAGGGGCGGGGCTTAGCAGACACCAACATTCCAGTCTTTCTGCACACACTCTTCAATTCTTTGCCATTAGGTGGTAAGACGTTTCTGGTAGTTGCAAGCAATAAAATGTCCGAACGAGCTTTTAAGCATTGCAAGGATTACCAGAGGGCATTTTCTGCTCTATGGCTGTGAAAGGAAAACGTGTGAAACTACATGATAATGAAACAGGGGCCAAGTGGAGCGTTCCACTCCTCATACTTACCCTGGGCCAAGGAGCGCTGTGTTCTTCAGAGAGGGGGCTGCAGAAACACAAGACGCAGGTCAGCAAAGTCAAGGTGGAATCAAGTTCCCCTTTCCTCGGTCTCCACGAGCTCTGATCACTACATTCCTTGTCTTTTCAAGCCACCCAAGATTCCAAGCTCTTTCCTAATAAACACTGATTACTTTCAATTTAGGCTAAAACCTCCCTAAATCTTTCAACTCCCCCACTTATTTCCTTTACTTCCCCCCCCCCGCCCACCGCCCGGGACCCTGTATTTTCAGCCTAATCACCCAAATAGCCTGGCCCAGGTTTTCAATCCTCACCCGCTGCGGCGGCAGCAGAAAGTACCGCCCGTGACAGCATGATCAGGGAAACTCCGGGTAGCGTCCCAGTGACCCCAACAGGAGAGCTTGTCAGGGACAGTGGCAATATGGCCGCTCACAACTCTCGCGAGAAAAGAACTTTGACCCTCCCCCCCCCCTTTATATAACGTCAGAATTCTCGCGATAACCTGTTGCCAGAGGGTGATAGTAACAAACGTGGAAACTTCTCGCGAGAAGTAGAGTTGCTGGAGCCTTGGGAGAGGGGTGGAGATCTGGAGGTGCACGTGGGATTGCAGCGGTACTGGATTTCTGGCCAACGTCTAGTTTGGGTCTAGGTTGGAACTGGGACAGTGGCGATGAGGAAGGAAACCCCGCCTCCGCTGGTGCTCCCGGCGGCCCGTGAATGGAATCTTCCCCCTAATGCGCCAGCTTGTATGGAACGGCAGTTGGAGGCTGCGCGGTACCGGTCCGGTGAGCCGAGATCCCGGGCTTGGGAGCTCCCTCTTCTCGGCCCAGGACGCCCTCTCCCCGAAATTGATCCTCCCCTGTCTGTTCCCGCTACGCATGCCACCCCGATCCCTACCTAACATCGCTGAGCTTAGTTCCCAACCCTGCCTCATTCTCCTGAGCTGAGATCTGGACCCTGCCAGCGCGCGCCGCAGGCGCGGTCACCATGGAGACGAGCCCTTCCACTCCTGGCGCGCTCATAGCTTGTACTCCCTGTAGATGGGTCCCTCCTGCTCGGGGCCTCCAGCCTGAGTGGCCGCTGCTGGGCCGGCTCCCTGTGGCTTTTCAAGGACCCTTGTTCCGCCCCCAACGAAGGCTTCTGTTCCGCCGGGGTCCAGACGGAGGCGGGAGTGGCTGATCTTACTTGGGTAGGCGACAGAGGTATCCTCGTGGCTTCCGATTCAGGTGAGGCACTGCCCTCTCATTCTTTTGGGTGGACTGGAAGCGCGGGGTACACGCCAGACTTAGCGTCCTAATATGCTTAGTGGTGAGGGATACTTCAGTGTGTTTACACCAAACCCGAACTCTTATGTAGATAGGAAATACCTTTCCCAAGATTCAGGATTATCTGGTTGCATTTTCCAGCAAAACACCTAACATACTTAAGAAAATGAGTTGGCATCACTTTTTTCCGCTATGAAAACCTGGCGCAACAAGGATAATTCTCCATGATCTTGAGGATGCTATTGAAGCCACTTTCAGCTGTACATGTTCCATTCCTGAATGTCTTTGTTCTGATTTATTCACTTTGAATCCTAGAACTCATTAACGAAAAATTTGTCATTAAAAAGAATGTGGAAGTTGTTCAAGTTGGTGGAGGGAGGTGAAATTGAAGCTAAGCACAGCAGTGTCTGTAAGGATGAGAACAGTGTAGGTCAAAGTTCACATCACCTGTTTATAGGGTTGCTCTGAGTCGCAGTTGATCCATGGCCTATAACAACAAAATGAAATTGAAAGGTTTAACCTCATCAGGTTGTGTATGTGCTGCACAATTGTGGAGACATGATTATTTTTCACCCAGAGCAGAATTTTTTATGTGTCTTTTCTCTTCTCACCACTGGGCTGATTGGCAGCATCATGATAGATGGTGAAGAGATTGAGATTGTTAACAGCTTTAGTTTGTTTGGCTCCACAATCAACAGTCTTGGTACTAGATGCCAGGAAATCCAAAGAAGAATTGCATTGGAAAAGTCGGCTGTCAGGACCATCTCCAGAGTACTGAAGAGCAACAATGTCTGTCTGGAGACTAATATGGGCCTGATCCAGGCCATGGTCTTTGGCATGACTTGGTATGCATAAGAAAGCTGGGTGATGACTAGGGATGATAGAAGGAGAATTGATGCCTTTGGGCTGTGGTGCTGGACATGAGCATTGAATATACCATGGACTGCTAAGAAACAAACAGGTTTGACCTTGAGAGGGTGAAACCAGCCTGCTCTTTGGAGGTAAGGATTCTGAAGCTCCGTCTGACATACTTTGGACATGTTACAAGGAGTGACCAGTCCTTAGAGACAAACATTATACTTGGGAGGGTGGAGGGGAAGACCCTTGATGAGATGGGTTGACTCAGTGACTAGAGTGATGTTGGTAGGTGTGTCAGAGATAGTAAGGTTGGCTCAGGATAGAGCAGTGTTCAGAGCTGTTGTACATAGATAGGGTTGCTATGAGTTTAAGTGACTCGAGGTACATAAAAATAACATCACTAGAAGCAAAATAATGGATTTCATTAGCTCTTCTGCCTTTCCAAGAATTTTTCTACAGCCTTCTTTCTCACCTTCATTTTCTGAACTGTTACTAGGATTTAGATGGATCCTCTGAAGATAGGGAATTTGCTTTTATAAAAATAATTTGGTCAATTTAGTGACAGTGGACTACTTGAGTACTGGAAATGGATTATTCTTTTGGTAGAACCAAAGTTCATGTTTTCCTCGTCCCTTTATCCCACTTCTACCAGGTGCTGTTGAATTGTGGGAACTGGATGAGAATGAGACTCTCATTGTCAGCAAGTTCTGCAAGTATGAACACGATGACATTGTGTCTACAGTCAGTGTCCTGAGCTCTGGTACACAAGCAGTCAGTGGTAGCAAAGACTTCTGGTAGGTCCTCAGTGTTCCTCTCTTAGCCTCCTTTGGGTGATTTTGCTATTTTATTTATTAACCTTATTAAGTATTGTTTTGAGGTCATTATCAGAACATGGTGGCTGATGATGACTTGTATGTATGAAGAAATTTTGCAGGCCATTGTTGTAAATCATACCAGACAGAAGTCTAACAAGAAAAGACAAATTATTATGATTAAAGTACTTAATTGATCACATATGTTTATGTAAATACTCTGGATGAAGATCAGATTATTTTTTTTCTTACATGGCCAGAGAAGCAAAACTTGAACAGACTTAAATGTTAGTAAACTGCAGTAAGACCTGAAATGGGAAAAAATTAGGAGTTGAAACTTTGTCAGCAAGTTAATTTCCCTCTTAGGAACCTAGGACAGTAAATGCATTGCACACCAACCAAGTCTTTTGCCCCTCAGATTTTGAACAGAGTTGGAAGCAGCAGTATCCCCTTCAGAAATAATGGCTGGGGTTGGGGCTTTGCATGTGTTTCCACAATCCTGCCAGTAACTCATGTCAGGCTCCTAAAAGGCTCACTACACTGCATCCAGGACTCCCATCCTAGGCTAATAGCTAGTAATTTTCTTGTTTTAATTGTTGTTGTGGATCACCCACATTTTGAAAACTCAGTTGCAGTTTCTCTTCATCAGTCTCTTTTTTTTTGCCTTGTAGCATTAAGGTTTGGGACCTTGCTCAGCAGACAGTACTGAACTCATACCGAGGTAAGTGCTTCTTTCCTTTCAGTCCTGACCTTAGCTAGTTTTCCGTTTCCCCTTTATCTGACTTGGATGTCAAGGCAGCAGTTCCATGTTTTCCTGTTAAATCATTTTTTTCCCTATAACTGAAGTCAGATTTAATCTCTGCCTGCAATCTGTATCTCAAGTTCCCTATTTCTCATCACTTTCTTGACCACAAATTTCTCTTCCATTCTTGTCCCTCCTTCCTGTTTCCTCACTATCATTAACAAGTTTTGTTTGGCTCATCACCTTTCTGTTTCTTATGCTGTCATTCACTTTCACATGAACGGTAGCATTTAACTTTCCACTTAAAATCTTTCATTCATTTATGTGGTTTTTTTGGTGACCTGATGATTAAAATTCCACTTTGTTGCTATGATTTTAAGTCCTTGTGCTACCACTTCCCCTTAAAGTACTCTATATCAGGTGAACCCTGTTACAGTAAAGTCTCAATATTCTGAAGAGCTAAACCCTGAGACTTTTTGAATCACAAACATGAAAAATTCCATTAAAATTGGATTTTCTGTCAAGAGCCATAATTTTCTTTCTCACATCCATTAACAGTATTGACACTTGGTTTATATTTTGGTCGCCATTTTCATAAAAATGGTTTTTATGATGCATAGTGTCTATTATGCGGAGATTTGGACACTAGTAATGATTGTGGTTTTACCGAATGGCCAGGTGCCAGTCACTACCAGAGTACAAGGTTCAGATTTGTGCCAAAGCAAAATCTCAAGTTAATACATGATTTGGCCTCATGACATGTAGAAATAGTAAAAAAAAAAATCCAACAAAGTTAGAATGTAATTGCCTGACTTTTACCATATTTGCCACTATTTCTTAAACATGTTCTGTTGTTTTCTGGTTATTGCTACCTCTTTTTTTAAAATTTATTTCAATTTTATGTTAGCTTGCATACAAAAATTCATATACATTGTTTCACAGTTTCTGTCTTTTTAAATACATTCTCTTGGTGTTATTTTATTGCCCATTCCTCTTCCTCACCCTCTATTCCAAATTCACTGATGACAGAATCATGTGGTTTTTACTATTTTCCCTAGTTTATGCTCTTTATTTTTTTGTTTTGGGGTTTTTTCCATTTTTTATTAATGATTTTTTTAATGCAACATTTATATTTTTTACAGCATATTCTTTCCACTTAATTTTTTCCCCATTAATTCATTGCTGCACATTTTCCTCCCTGCCCAACCCTCCGCCCCAGTTCGTTTTTCTCTTTGAAAAGAAAATAAGAATTCTTTCATTGTTTTACAATCCCCACACCCTCAAGTCCACAGTCTACTTTACTCTACATTTCTTTTTCTGTGTTTGCTGTGATGCCAAACACTGTGACATCAATGTGCCAAATGCGATACTGGTTACCCATGGTGGACAGTGGTGGAGTTTCCTGATTAAAACAAGCTTGGAAGCAGGAGTGGCATCCACTTCTGAAATGGCTTGCCTCCAGAAACTAAGAACATGGGAAACAACCAAAGTTATACAGATGTTTAGGTCTTTCATTCATAGGGTCACTGTGAGTCACCTATGACTTAGCGGCTCTTAACAACAACAATATATTCCTTTTAAACAGTTTTCTCTCTCATCTGTTTCAATGCAGTATATGTTATTTATGCCCTCTTTTCTTAGGTTCCCCCAACCCCTATGTCAGTCCTGTTTTAGAACAGTGGTACTGTGCAGTATTTGTCCTTTTGTGACTGAGATATTTCACTCAGCATAATGGCCTCAAGGGTCACCCTTTTGTATAATACTTTATGAGTTCTTTGTTTTTCAGTGCAACATAGTCTTCCATTGTATGAACATACCACAGCTTCTCTATCCATTCATTTGTTGATGGACACTTGGATTGTTTCCAACTCTTTACTGTTGTGAACAAAGCCGTAGTAAACGTGGGTGTGCATATATCTACTTGGGTGGAAGTTATGGTTTCTTCAGGATATGGTCTTTTTCTATTTCCCCATAGATCTTATTCCAGAACTTTACTTTTGTCAGAGCAATACATTTCTCTTGATTTTTTTCAGATTTTTACCTTTTCAGGGGTGTGGTTAAATCCCATCCAAATGCCTCAGAGCAGGACCTTTTAGAATACTTTAGAAAGCCTAAATAATGTGGTTCTGATAATTAACATGGAGCCGTAATCATCAAAATTTTTTATTAAAAGAATTTGAATATATTTTACTTCAAGCATATTAAAATTGATATCTAAAAGTTCTTAAGTCAAATAATTTCTGATCTGATAATTGCTTATTGTTTGCCGTAAGTATATTTGTTTCCAAATCTTAGATTTCCCAGTTAAGCCCATTTAATTTATGTAAAATCACAAGGTAGATTGACCCAGAGACTGTTCACTGTCTACCGTTCATAGGGTCGCTGTGAGCAATAGTCAACTTGATGGAATGTAACAACATGAATCTACCAAATAACCTGGTAAAAAAGGATCAGTTGACCAAGCTAAAACTTTTATGAGAAAGAGTCTAACTTTGTTTTTAAATTAAAATAAACTTTCTTGGTTTGCCTTTATGAAAACCATTGTAATTTTAAATTCTTGTTGTTAGAAATAGATTAAGGCAGAGAATCACACTTGTGGTTTTGTTGATGAAATAAGGTTAGTCTCTTTCTGTGTGTCTTATACACATAGTCTCTGTTTCCCTCTTTGTCACCTGGAGATAAACCCCTTTTTCCTCTTAATTGGAGCTCTTAAGTTTTTATACCTTTGCCTGATAAATCATGGTTAAGGTATGGGATAGGTGAGAGGTCTCCATGTTCCTTCTGTGCCTTGAGCAAAGGGTGATTGCAAAAGTAAAGGTAGGGGGAAAGGATTAGGAAACTAGAGACGCTCTCAATTCAATTTCTTAAGCTTTTGTATATATTAAAATTCCTATTCCTCAACCTTTAGGTTTTTTCTGAATACCTACTAAAAATTTATAAAATTGTATTATAAGGCACAGCCTGTTTCCTACATCTTATCTTCCCTCCCACCCCATGATGATGATTATATGTGGGCTTGCCTTTTTATAATGTCCTCAGCCTCTCTTCTCCTACTTCTCTCTCTCGTTACAGCACATTCAGGACAAGTCACCTGTGTTGCTGCTTCTCCTCACAAGGACTCTATGTTTCTGTCTTGTGGTGAGGTAAGGTACCTTCTTTAAGCCTATTCTTTCCCACTGTTTAACCGCATCCAAGCTCTCTTTAGGCCAGAGAGTACTTGAGCTTTGTGTGGAAGCCTTCTGGCAGCAGCTGCTTTTTTACATTGTGAAACTTCTGTTTTCCTGTCTTAATGTTTTAGGACAGTAGAATTTTACTCTGGGATACTCGCTGTTCCAAGCCAGCATCACAGATGGGTGAGTCTGAGAGCCAGTGATGGGAGAATGGTGCTAGGTGTGCACCTGGAAGAGAGGCTGACCTTGGCCCTAGTCAGAGGCACAGTTGCCAGTTACTATGTCATAAGGACATAATCTCCTTCCCTACTAAGGCTCTATTAACTTCTTCTAAGAGGAAGACCTGATTCTTGGGCTGGTGACTTACTTATATGGATAAAAAAGGGGGCCAGATTTAATATCTTATGGCTATGTTTGTAATGTCTGTGTCCAGGAAGGACGGATGCCTAATTCATAATACGTAGTCCATGAGGCTCAAAAATGTTCACATAAGACCTTACTAACATTTGGGAACTGAATAAAGATGTTCTCAGGACATAGATGAGTACAATGGAAAAACTTCCTTCTCTGGGCTTTGTGAGTCTTGACACAGAACCTTGTTTTTCTCCTTCATAGGCTGCAGTTCTTCTGGCTACCTTCCTACCTCCCTGGCTTGGCATCCTCAGCAGAGTGAAGCTTTTGTCTTTGGTATGTCTGCATATCAGATTGTATATTGACTCTGAGAAGAGGGAGGATGAGAAAGAGCTAGTCCATAGAGCAGAAGGATCTGGCTGCAATAGTTAGCAATATACTTGGGCGTTAATTATTATGTTAGTAACGTGGGGAAATAGGATGATCTAAAAGTGGTTTTAGTTCCTTTGAGAACATGATCTTTTTTCTTCCCCAGTAAATTTGCTTCCTGATTGCAGTGATTCTTTTATCTTGGGCTTGGCTAGAAGTCAATGCAAATATGATGAAAACCTGTGAAAGGCAGAACTTGATAGGATTTTCTATCTTTGACAAAATAGTCTTACTGTTTTTCTATTCTCTTATTACTAGGAAATATTTTGTGTACTTGGATACAACAGTGTTTATTTCCTCTGTGAATAGCTGCAGTGCTATCTTGATGATGCGGCTATGAAGACAGTGAAGTCATTTGGAGTTAGAAAAACAAACTGTCTCATCTTTTAATTCTCACAACCATCTGATGACTAATTATTCTTTTCTTATAAAAGGGGAAGCTGAAGTTCAATGTGATCAACATATTGATCAAGATTGAGGAACCAGGATTCAAATCCAGGATTGATTGACTCCAAAGGCTGCATGCATTGTTAAACACTGTGTTCTGCTTGCTGTCTTTCCTCTAGGTGATGAGAATGGGAACGTATCCCTTGTGGACACCAAGAGCACTGGTTGTGCTCTCAGCTCAGTGGTGCACTCCCAGGGTGTCACTCGGCTGGTGTTCTCCCCACACAGGTACAGTTCTATATCATCAGGGACCTGGTGGCTGTGAATTGGAATAGCAAGCGGGTTGCTTATGTTGCCAGAACATTAGCTGATTAGGAGTTCCTTAAAGCAGACAAGTGTGAATGGTTAACACCCTTGGCTGCTAATGGAAAAGTTGGAGGTTCATATTTACTCAGAGGTGTCTTGTGAGTGAAAAGGTCCTAAACCACAGATTGACTTGACAAACATTCGGCCACCGTGAGTCAGTTTCAATTTGACAGCAATTGATTTAAGGAAACTATTTTTGTTATGTACTGTCAAGTCAGAACCAACTTATTACTGACTCTCTATCAGGTTTACAGAGGCTGTAAATTGCACAGGAAGATATTTCCCATCTTTCTCTCTTGGAGGCACTAGTGTATTTGAACCACCCATTAGGAGAGTTGACATTACAGCTCATTACTATTCAGCCACCAGTGCTACTTTAGCTGAAGTGTTAGAATATCCGCAGTCTCTATGATCGTGGTCCTTTTTTGTATTGTGAAGTTTCTCTGCTCATTTCTACTCAACACCTAAAATGATTTATAGCATAGGTTTTAGAACTATAGTTGGAAAACGTTATTTCTTAAGAGAATTGCTGAAGCTGTGGGGAGACTGTTGTGTTGTTTTTTATGTGCTGTGGAGTCAGAACTGACCATTGCTGACCCTCCAGCAGGTTTTTAGAAGCAATAAATTGCCTGAAAGGAGATTGCTTATCCTTCTCTCAAGGAAGGGTCAGTGGATTTGAACCATATGTCTTCTGATTGCACCCCAGTTTCTTAGTCCTAGGCCACCAGAGCGTCTTCATAGAGGGACTATTGTTGATTGCCATCGAGTCCAGTGTGACTCATAGCAACCCTATGAACAAAAGACCTGAGGCCTTTTTATAACTATTCCTTCTCAAAATTCATAGTTTACAGAGATATGTTGTTTAGGAAGTAGCTGCCACTCCTGCTTCCAAAGAGAGTGACTAGATGTTGTTTTTCAGCCTTAGCTTTGCTCCATTTCCCCCACCTTTGCTCAGAACTTACTCTGTGGACTTCAGTGATAGCCAAACCTTAACCCAAGTTAGGCCACTATTTTCTTGGGGTCAGTTTGTGGTGGAAGCTTAGAAGAATGACCCAGTCTGATTTTATCATGAGATCCTTTGGTTTTCCCTTTAACAACCTTTTTTTTTTCCTCTCCTAGTGTTCCCTTTCTGGCTTCTATCAGTGAAGACTGCTCAGTTGCTGTGCTAGACTCAGGCCTTTCAGAGATGTAAGTGCAGAGTAGAATGCTGTGGTCAGGAGTCAGGGAGGGAACGTCCGCAGCTGGCTGGGTCCTTTCTTTATAAGTGCTTTATCCAGGAGGGAGAATTTTCACCTTCTGCTTATGAGGAGACCAAGTGATAGAAACAATGCAGGCTGTTACCATCTCCCTCTTCTTGGGGCTCGCTTACAACCAGCTCTGTGTTCCTGTTAGAAGAGGACTGTTGGTGGTGGGTGGAATTTCTGAGTGTGGTATTCCCACTCTCCCAAAAAGAGGAGATTCTGTCCTTTTCACATTTAGAAAAACCACAGACCACCAGAGAGCCCACACGCATGATGAACATGCTGCTGAAGGCACTGGGCTGGTAACTAGATTTTTACACCCATTTTGCCTTGATTTGCTGTGGTCCTGCCCCATATATCACGAACTTAACTCCTATCACCATTTCAACTCCAAAAATAGCTGGATTGTGTAATTGAGACAGTCTATAAGAAGATAGCTATATTGTTCTCCTGGGGATGAGAGCATATATGTGGTGAAGTGTGTAAAAGCTCCCCAAGAAGATGCTAGAGGCATTGGATTGGGGGTTTTTTCCAAGCTTTTTCTCTATACTAAGCCCAAACTTGCTTTTCTTTTTTAGGTTTAGAAGCCGAGCCCATAGAGACTTTGTGAGAGATGCTACTTGGTCCCTGCTCAATTACTCCCTTCTTACCACAGTAGGATGGGACCATCAAGTCATCCACCATACTATGCCCATTGATCCTGTCCCAGCTCCTGAATCTAACAGTGTTGCTGAATAGTTTGGATTTAAGACAAAAAGCAAATCTTGTATGACTATCCACTCCTTTCATGTGTGCCCCCTCAGCTTGTGAGACAACATAGAGCCTCATAACAGCATGTTGATGACCAGATCTGTGCAGTTAGCAGGCATCATCTCGTGCCTGGGGAGGCTGGATTCTGTAGTCATAGGTAACATTTGCTTGAAGATAGGTGTGAGAGAGAGTGTGTGTGTGTGTGTGTGTGTGTGTGTACAAGCGCATGTATGTATGTGTACATACAGATATATAGGGAAATGATTTTGAGTAAGAGTGGCGAGATTTTTCCCAAACCTTCCCCCATCCCCCCAAAAAAATTATTGACCAAAGGGTTTTATTGTTCCACATTTCTGTGCAGGAGGAATTGGGCACTTCCGGGTGGTATATGGGATGTAGGTATCCCTGAATTCTTGGAAGGAGCTCTACTCCTACTCATGAGGCAGTAGCGGATTTTTATAAAGGCGTCCAGCAGAGATGCTGTGAGTTTGGTTTTAGAACACTGCAGTCAAGAGTAGAACTGCTCCCATAGGGTTTCTGAGCCTGTAAATCTTTGCAGAAGAAACTGCCTCATCTTTTCCCTGCAGAGTCTCCAGGTCTAAGCGACAGCTTTTCTGATAGCAGCCCACCACTTTACATATTGTACCACCAGGGCTTTTATTTTGAAATATTGTGAGAATTACCAAAGTGGGCACATGCTGTTGGAAAAATAGTGCCAATAGACTTGCTTGATACAAGGTTGCCATAAACCTTTAATTGTAAAAAATGCAGTATATAGCAATCACCATAAAGCAAAGTGCAGTAAAACACCATATAACTGAGTTTAATTCACCTGTACCATGAGAAATACAGAAAACTTCCATTCACTAAAACTAGCTCAACTTACCTTGGGGTAGAGCCAGACAGATCACTGTCACCACAGCTGCATACATCTGAATGACACCTGTAGTCACTGGAGTTGTGTCCACTGTCATTGGTTAAATGCCATAGAAAAAGTTTGGGCATGGAGAGCTTAGGGGCATTTCCATTGGACTAGAAAACTGACATTTCAGAAAACTACTTTTACCACCAAAAAACCAGCTTGAGGCCAGATCTGCCTCAGAGTCCATTTCTGTGTGGGTATAGGAAGTTTGAATGTTAACATTTGTAGACTGCAAGTTTTGACATCTGACATCAAAGGGAATCAAATAACGGTTAAATAAAAATTGTAGGCTTTGTTGGCCTTTTGAAGCATGTGTGTTCTATTTGCATTTAATCTCATTTCAGTTATATATTATGGGAAGCCAAACTTTATATGAAAACCTTTGTTCAGGAATTGAAGGAATTAAAGATATATAAGTTACGATTTCTCTTGTGGCAGATCCTAGAAATTGAGCTGTTTATTCCCTGAAGACAGGAGACAGCAAGGGGCCCCCTACAGAGGGAGTGTTACTTCCTGAGCTAGAGTTCACCCTGAGGCATCAAGGTGTTAATAGGTAAGGGTAAACCAAATTCTTGCATTTGTGAACCCCTCCTTCCTGAGTCAAGCAGAAGGTTTTCTATAGAAAGAGCTTGGCTTCGTTTGCATTTAATTCTCTGTGATTTACTTCCTGGTAATTTTCAATAAAGATACAGAGAAGCTTGGCTTGGGGTCTTCAGTCGAGAACTGCTGGCCCCCTGTTTTATGCTCTCTGCTCTATCACATTCCTGGCTGTTTGTCTCTTTATTAATAATTATAAAATTATTCCATTCTTTGGGACCCTCAGTCTGCAACAATATATGTCACCAAGGTATTAATCTTAAAAACTCCTTGCAATCGAGTCAGAACCGACTTAATAGCTGGCCTCCCATTTGGCTTTCAAGGCTATAAAATCACACAGTAGGAGCTTGCCCATCTTTTTTTTCTATAGTGTGTCCATAAAATAGGAATACAGTCCTTTATGGTTCTATAAAAAGAGCATGGGTGATGTAAGGGCCATGATTTCAGAGGCCACAGTCCTCTACTCACTCCAAAAGGGAAATTGCCCCCAGCAACAGCATCCACTACACAAAACCAATTTCTTTGAAGTCAGATGTGCCTCATATTCCCCTTCCTATTCTTCCAGCTGCTCTCCTGGGTCTGAAATCCACTTCAAGAGCTAAGCAGACCTTACAAAAATAATTAGTTGCAATTCAGGTGGACCGGAGAATAAGATTTCTCAGGACACCTTCTGAAGTGTATAGAGCTTGTAGGCTCTAGCTTCAGCCTTATGGTGTATGCTGATGAAAACTGCCAATTAAGGTAAGCCTCTTCCCATATTCCCAAGATTGAATGAGGGCCCCTGGCTCTGCCCCTGTGAGGTAAAAGTCCTAAGGTCAGCTCTCTTGTTCCCACTCTTATCTGCTGTATCTCTCTTGTAGACCCTGGGCTGAGTGGTGCAGGAATCTTGGTGAAGAAGGTGTGCTGTAAACCTTGTGGAATGGTGAAACTAGCCCAACTTCTAAATAGACTCAACATACCGTGTTTGCATATTCCCTTCAAGCCATATGGCAAAGACTAGGGCAGTGACCTAGTAAAGTAATCTTAAAAGTAACTTCAGTTCTAAAGTAACTGGTTACTTCAGAGCTAGTTAGAATTCATTAATTGATTATTAACTGAATTGAAACATACTTAACTGAGTTTGATAAAATCACATGAAATGGACAGAACTTAAAGGACTCTGGAAAAAAACTTTGTTAGCCACATTCTTGACGTGACTTATTCTCACCATTAGAGTAAGAAATGGATATTTGTAGTCATGACCTAAGGGGAATAGAAAGGTGTGAGTAAATTTTTTCCACTCTAATATTGTGAGGGAATTGATCACCCAAGTTCTCCTTTTTGGAGGTGAAACTGACTTGGGATATTTACTAAATAGAGAAAGGGGCAGAGTTGGAATATTTTCCCAACTTCCTCATGGATTTTAAGAATGGTGAAAGAAAGTTTTAGGGAAAATAATCTGTTGAGTTGTTAAGGTGTTGAAATGACTGGAAAATTTTTGTTTTTAGAACTACATTATCTTTTATTGTAAAAAAATACTTTATGCCAAAATCAGTCACAGTAGGAATGATTTGTATAACAATGTGTGTGTTCCAGTTAATAAGATTGCTCTGTCAGTGACTTAGTAAAAAGTGCAGCAAGTTGTTATAAGACTCAGTCATTAGCTCCTTGACTTCAGTGAGGATAATGAACCAGGAGCATAAACATGAACTGGACTAAGTGATAACTGGTAGACATGGACTTGTTATATATATTAGTTGGTATGTGCCTTGGTGTAGGAACAGACTCAGTGCTGAACCTTCAGGACGTTTTCAAAGGCTCTGAATCACATGAAACATCTCAAATACTGTCCTGAAGTTTTAACATGCGATTGATCAGAAGATCATGAAATAAAATATTTAATCCATGAACAGCAGTGCTAATGTGCTAATGTGTCAGGTTGAATGTTAATCTCTGAAGTTGCTTTCTCTCTTCATGGATTCCTGTTGTGGTAACAGGAGATTCTGGACTAGGACCTGAGCACTGACAGTTACTTTGTTGATGGGGAAAATTGGTTGGGATTTAAGTATGTCATTTAAAACATTACTTATAGTCACTAGAACAACCTGAAGGGTTGTCAGAGTTTTCATTGTCACCTGGAGTAGCAGTCTTTACTTCATTTACTGGATTTTGCTGCTGCTGCTTCTGACTAGCACTCTCCCCTCCTCCTCATAAGTTCTCTGGGCCCCATCTGGTATGCTGAGAGGTCAGAAGTCCTTTTCTGATCTTGCAAGAATAGATTTGGTTTCCCTTCTCTGTATACCTAGGATTAGGGTTGCTGAGTCATGTGGTTCTGGGTTCAACTTTGATGAGCCACCAAACTTTTCCTTGATGATTACATCATTTTATCTCCCAGTTTCTCTACAAACTAGCCAACACCTTTCACTTTAAAAAAGAAAAAAAAATCATAGCTATTCTAATGGAAGTATATTATATTGTATATAATAACAGAATATTGAACTGTAGCTCCCTAATGACTAATAGAACAAAATGTGCAAAGACCTGGAGTTAGAAAACCAAAAGGGAACACCACAATCAGCATTTCTCAAGCTGAAAGAACTGAAGAAAAATATTTAAGCCTTGAGTTCAGTTGCAATACTGGATTCTATGGGCAGAATATTGGGTCATACAGGAAACAGATGATGGGAGAAATATAGAGTCACTATACCAAGACAAATTGGTCAATACTGTACCATTTCAGTAAATAACATGATCAAGAACGGATAGTACTGAAAAAGAAATCCAAGCTTCATTCAAGGCATTGTAAAAAAATGAGGCTCCTGGAATTTATAGAATAACAATTGAGATGTTTTAGTCCAGGACATGCCTCTTTAATCAGTACCAAGACATTTGGAAGACAGCTACCTGACCAAATGACTGAAAAAGATCCATTAATTGTACTCATTTCAAAAAAAGGTGGTCCAACAGAATGGAGATTATTGAACAGTAATATTATAATAAAGTAAAATCTTCCTAAAGTTTTTTCATGTATGACTGGAGCAGTCACTTAGAGATTTAACTGCTGAAAGATTCAGAAGAGGCTGTGGAACAAGGGATATCATTGCTTATGTTTGATAGATCTTAGCTGAAAGCAGAAAATACTAGAAATATGTTTACTGTGCTTTACTAACTTAAAAAAGCAGTCATTTGGGTCATAAAAAGTTAATGTTGAGATAAATTACAATTCCATCACTTACCTGTTCTCATACAAAATATTTATATAGACCAAGAAGCAGTCATTCAAACAGAACGATGGGATACTACTTGATTTAAAATCAGGATAGATATATGCCAAGGTTGTATCTTGCTCTATACCGATTTAAATCTATAGGCCAAGCAACTAATTTTAGAAGTTGAACTATATGAAATTGACATCAGCATAAAGGGAAGATTTATCCACTGCCCGTATTATGCAGGTGACACAACCTTGCTGCACAAAGTGACGAAAACTAGAAGCACTTAGTAAGATCAAAGACTACAGTCTTCAATTAGATTTTTTTAAATATGTTAACATTAAGAAAACAGAAATCCTCACAACTGGACCAGTAGACAACATCATGATAAAAGAAAAGATTGAATTTGTCAAGGATTTAATTTTATTTGAATCCACAATCAACACCCATTGTAGCAGCAGTCAGAAAATAAAGACATTGTTGTGTTGGGGAAATTTGCTGTCAGTGGTTTAAAAGTGCTAAACAGCAAGGATGTCATTTAAAGAAACAAAGTATCCCTGGCCCCAAATCATGGTATTAGCATTGCTTCCTATACATCTGAAAGTTGGGCAATGTGAAAATCGATGCCTTTGAATTGTGGGGTTTGCAGAGAGTATTACGTTATACCATAGACTGCCAAAAGAGCAAACTATCTTGGAGGCAGTGCATTGAGGTGTTCTTTAAGAGGGAAGGATGGTGAAACTCGTCTCATATACCATGGCATGTTATCAGAAAGGACCAGTTCTTAGATAAAGGCACCATGCTGGGAAAAGTACAAGGTCAGCAAAAGAGAGGAAGACCCTCAATGAGATGTATTGACACACTGCAACAATGGGCTTGAGCATGGTGGAGATTTTAAGGATGGTGCAGGATGTGACAAGGTTTTGATCTGTTCATAGGTTATCTATACGTTGTAGCTGATTCATCAAGATATTATTACAACAATGCACCTCATTGTTTTATAGATAAAATTTTGTTGGAAGTTACTGCATTGATTCTGCCATGAAGCATTTTCTAGATGTAATCTTTGTGAGAACATTATCCCCAAGTCTTTCTCTGAAGAGTTGCTGTGTGGGTTCAAACGAACAATTTTTATAGCAGCTAAACACGTAACCATTGTAACATGAGGGCTCCTTAAAGGTGGTAACTGCCCCAGCTCCCAGCTGGAAACAAAGGAGGACGCTTCAACGATTTAGATTTAGATCCTCCCAGAAGAGCTGTGGGTGAGCATTAACATTACTTGTAAGTATATTCATTTTCTCCTGGACACAAAAGCCTACTATCTGGTCCTAAAAATCTTCTGATGTCCTAGCTCTTTTCACTATTTCTTAGTTGTTGGAATTGACGGAAAACCTCATAAGCAGTTCCTTACTTCACCTCTGCCTTGCATGCGGACTTCCAAGTTGTAAAACAACCCAGTGGTAGATGGAATTTGCTCCAGGACTTAAGGACAATAAATGACATAGTTGAACCTCTACATCTTGTGATTCCTAACCTTTATAATATAATAGACAAAGTGCTAGTCAATAGGCCTTTTATTTTAAGAACTACCAGAAGAATGTCTATCTGTGTTTCATTGATTATGCAAAGGCATTTGACTGCGTGGATCATAACAAACTGTGGCTGACTCTGAGAAGAATG